AGGGACCGCATGTTCCTCTTGTGGCCTGCTTCCTGCAACTCGCATATTCGCTTTTACCAGCTATTTTGGTCATTTCCTCCATAGGTCTATAGTTAAAATTATATACCTAAAATCCGAACACAACTAGTCCCTCAAATACTAAATTTGGGGGGCCTAGGAAAGTTTGGCTGCATCCTGGCTAGACATCGCGTGACCGAATTTATATGAGCGACCAAAATCAGCAAAGAAATGCACTCTTCTTAGGTAGGGCGTTCTCCCATTTTGATTCCCAGTAATGACTGCAAAGACACTCGACTAAGATGCAGCATGTTACCATGCATATTTAATAAACTCGAAACTGTGGCATGTTAATTACTACTGAAACACCGCTAAATTAAATGTTAGTTTCGGAGGAGTGTTAAAATTTTTCAGCTGGAAGGACTGCAGCCAAAATTCTCCAAGTTGAAGTGCATCACAGGAAAGATAAATGGAGACCAACATTAAGAGGTGGGAATAATTAAACAGTACGCTTGAGGACAAGAAAAAAGCGTGGAATAAGGGTACTCAGTTGGAACTCGTCCTTAGTTTTTCGCCATCTTCTCATTGAATAGACATGAACTGACAATGGCCCGAAATCAGCCCTTCCTATAAAGTGTCCCCAGGCCTTCGTGTAGCCAACGGCAAAGTCGATATTACTAGAGGAAAAGACGCATGTGTTTCATATGCTCCATTTCTAGCTGGCAGTCCCTAGGGACAGCCGCAGAGTGTATTTGCAAATCCTCCAGAAACATTGGTGGCTTAGCTCAGCTAGTTGCATGGTGAAAAGACTCGTGCGATTCAGACCCGTGATAACTGCCTGAATGCGAATTTAATGCGAATGGACGGCTTAGGAACTCCCGCCACACCTTCTCAGCTTGGGCGACAGGCATGGATAGTTGGTGACTACCGGTAAGTTCGAAACACCCCTATCACTAAATGGAATTCGACTACTGAGAGTATATTTTACTTGAGCGAGCGAGGGCTGTACTGATGGCGCTGTCAACTCAGCCTAGAAGTTCATAGATATTTCATGCAAAAAAGTTGTTTGATACTAACAAAAGTGGAATCTAAAATTCTTCATGTGAAGTCAGATAATAAGAAGTAACCAGGTCACCAAACGAAAACTTACGTGTCAAAAACTTTCTCCAATTGCTGCACCAACGAAGACTTCTGAGCGTACAGATGAGAGGTCATTTCACAGACAGCAGCCAGGGCACCGATGCCATCCTTGTCGAGTACGGTAGTTCCGGACATGAACCCTAAGGCAGCAGACAGAAAATCAATATCGTAATACAGTCAGTGAACTGGATAAGTGGAGGAAAAAGTGGTAAAACTCTCCGAATAGCTCAAGACGATGAAGCGCTAAAGTTGAACCTTCTATCAACACAGTTCCAAAGTAAAGTCGATAATCAAACAGTAAGGGGGGGGAGGGAATCGCGATCTGCCATTAGGTAAAACATCAAAAAACTAGTCGTTTTATCAAATCTACGTGCAGGTGATCAGCTGCTTGAGTTTGCAGCATGGAAACGACAGGGTTTGTGCTACATTCTAAAAAGAAACGGGAACAATTAACTCCACCAAATGGCAGTCGTGTCGTTCTGGACGCTTTAACGTCGGATCCAGCGGCTTCAGACGACATATAGTCAGGCAGATGGAAGCTCATATCTCTAGTAGAAAAACGCAGCGGTGAATGCGTGTCAATCGTCCATAACAAACGACAAGGACGCGCTTGTGTCTATGATCTTATTGTATGGTTGAGTTGAGCACTAATCCCGTCGGTAGCTTGTGCGATATCAGTTACGCGCACGGCCTATGGCCGATCGATAGCGCAGCGTGGGATGAGTCATCAGGGTGGTGTGCGGCTGAGTCGGTTGGGGCTGCTCCTAATAGTCTCTCCTTG